GGAGCAATCAGCTGTTTGATCTGGTTATAGCCTTGTTCAAATTTCCCTGAAACATTTCATTAAGTTTACAGATCGAAGTAACGCTTCGGAGAATACTTGGGGGGAGGGGGGTTAATTTTGTTTTGTTCTGTTTTGTAATGCTGTAGCAAATTGGTTGTCTTACTATAGATGATTATGAGGCTAGTCAAAAGGTTTTATAGAATCTTAACATGGCTCTTTGGATAAGTAGAAGATCCTTAAATCGGTTGCTTGTGGTGCTTATAAATAGTTAACTTGCTTTTGATTTCAAGCTAAACTTTCACGTTATCAAAACTGTGCTGGATTAAGTAACCTAACCAATCAGATCTTTTTCTAGATTTTTAAAATATTTTAAAATTGATGAAACTACTGTCCATCATTTTTGTAACTTCTTCTGTATTGCATAGAAATCCTTATCTCTAAAGTGACTCCAATGTTATACCATAAAAGAAAATACACAGTCCTGCAGTTTCTATATTTTAAAATTGTTTGTGTTGCCAGTGCCTGCAATGTTAAAACAAGTCTTGTAGTATTAGTTTTTTGTGGGGGAGAGGGGGTGTTTTGTTTTAAAGTCTAGTTTCTGCAATCAAGTGGCTATGTTAGAGAATCAACTTCCACTTTTTGAACAGGAAGATACTGACTCTCTTGATTACAAACAAAAGCTTGAAGAAATGAGCCTCAAAGACTCTAAAACTAGGAGGTAAATTAAGAGGTTGGGATTAATTTTAATAAAATAGAAATAAAAACTAATCTGATGGTTTGGTGGCCTAACTCCTGATGTTTTTTTAATACTAACTCTAGAGTTTGGGAATACTGATTTTAAATGCATTGTATTTGTTCTTTATAACTATCGCCTCTGGTCCTTCTCAATTTTAGCTAGTTTCAAATTTAAAATGGTGGCAAAGTTATTATATGGTGCTTAAAAAATGTGCACAGCAGTGATACTTCCTTTTGATTTACAAAAACCAAGATTTGTGCATATTTTTCCTCCTATTATCTCTTTCTCAGAATACCATTGCAGGTAGTAAGCTTAATATTGTATAGCAACATTAAAATTAACGGAGCTATACTATATGAGAATCTGGCCTGCAATGTGTTAATGGAACAGACTTTTTTACGTGAAACGTTAAACATACTCAAGTACACGTGTTAATGTATCATACATAAATAGATATTTCAACAGCATTTGGTCGCAAGGATAATCTTACTTCTAATTTCCCTATAATTTTCTTGGACCTACATAATGATTTTCCCAGACTATGTAACAATTTAGGCCTGGCTCCTGAGATGTGTTCTATATAGTAGTGGTTCCCAACCTTTTTGGACCGCGGACCAGCAAACCACGGACTGGAAGTGACTGGCATACTGTGGACCGGCAGCCAACCCTTTTTTATACTGAGTAGAAAAGAGGGTTGGCTGCAGGTCCACAGTATGCCGGTCACTTCCGGACTTCGAGTCCAGCAGCCAAATCTTCATGAGCCGGTACTGGGCCGCAGCCTGGGAGGTTGGGAACCTCTGCTATATAGGTAACACTTGCACAGAGGACCACATTGACATGGGCTCCATGGAGGCACACATTAATTTGCACTAATCAGGGGTCTATGCTATTAATTTAAAAAGGAGAGAGAAAGAGTTTTTGCTGTCTGCTGGAACTGAAGTGCTTAAAGGCCAATATTCAGTGTATTAAAAGTAGTTTCACACTATAGCCACAGGGTGGCATCACTATGTAACTTTGGCACAAGTGCTTAATATTGTTCTCTGTTTTTCTAGTCTCTAGACAGCTGTTAATTCATAATTGGACCAGCAGTTTTAGTTTGCAAAAAACATTTTTTCATACAACTTGCAGTAAGACCAATAGAAACCTTTCTATGATTAAAGAAAAAAAAAATCAACGGGGAGTCATTTAGCTCATATTACCCCGTGGTATATAACAGGCAGCCTGAAATTGCAACTGATGCATTGATTTTTCCTGTCTAAACAGAGAACAGTAGAAAGTAGACAAGGAGCATAAATACTGGAAAGTAAATTGGATTTTTTTATAATCACTTTCTATGGTCTCAAGGGCCATGTTCTTCTCCATGCAACATGTATTTAAAATAACATTATCACTTGAATCATACTTTAGTTATGTTTCATCAAAAAAAAAATGTCTTGAGTTAATTTATTTTGTGTTATCTTGTCTGAAGTAACTGTCTGTGTTACTTGTGTGATTGATAAGGCAGTGGCATAAGTTTTGAGGGAGAAATTTTCAAAAGTGCCTAAGTGATTTAGGCGGCATACAAAAAACTAGAACTCTTGGTTCCAAAATGATACTTTGTATTAGACCAACTGGGAAGTCACAAGAAAATTGTCCTTTTCTGCAAGCTTTCGGGATCAAAGTCCCTTCATCAGGCTCTGGGAAAAGTATAAGATGGCACAAGATGGCAAAAAATCCCCATAGGTAGGAAACAAACTTCATTTTTGCACAGAGGGAGCTGAAGATGGAAGGCTGTCCCTCTGGGTCTTTGCGAGCTGTGCTGAGTAGCTCTTTGATGTGTAGATCAGATAGAATTCCTTCCCTGGGGGTGTCAGATGGCACGTGGGAGGTAAAAAAAAATTTTGGTGTTCTACAATGAAGTCTAAAACCCACATTTCTGCAATGATGTTTAAAAGTGATTTAGGAGCACTTAACACTGAATTTCAGTGGGAATCCCCTGAGTGTTTTTGCAGATCTCATTTTGCACTTCTAAAATCTAAAACTTAAAATTGTCTGACCCAAGTAAAAAAACACGGGGTATGAGTAAAGGACTTCATGTGACAGTGTTGAGTACTGTAGCTCAATCCAGAGGGAAAAAAGAGCAAGTGTTTATCTTGATTCACATTAACTTTTCTATTAACTTTAATGGGACCACTCTGAGATTTAACTTTAAACACATCCATATGTCTTTTGCTAGATTGAGATAGAGAGCTTGGCATTTTGCAGGATCATTAGTTTATTATGACAATTGGATGTGAATGAAGTAACTCATTCAAAGATTTGCTTTTATCTTTCTCGGGCCAAGCTGGTTCCAACCTAGGAGCCTGTTGTTTCCAATCATTCCTACCCTGAGTAATACCCTAGTATAGGAACAATCTGATTGATTGTCTAGATCTCATTTTACATGACACCAAGGTAGTTTAAGGCCACAATTTAGATTCAATGGAATCTTGACACAATAAGAAACCACCTTAGAAGCCCCATTTCAGTAACCCAACACTTAATTCATGTTGGATTAATTGTATAAGGAATTAATGCAAAAGAAAAATGCTTTTCAAAGTGCGAAGGTCACAATCTACATTCAACTGTGACGTTCCTACTTCATATGAGACGGTTGTTTTAAAAAAGAATCTGGTAGCTTGAACTTTTTCTTTCAGCTCTGCATTCCACTTTCTTCCTAATTATTCAGTTTAAGGATGTCCTGCAAAAGCCACCTTTGAAAATGAGGGTATGTGTGCACACACTAGTTACCAGGAGATAAAAAGAGGCAGGTTTTTACCATAGATTCATAGATTGTAAGACCGGAAAGGACCTCAGAAGATCATCTGGTCAAGCCCCCTGCACCAAGCAGGAAAGATAACTGGGGCGCAGGTGACCCCAGCGAGGTGACTGTCCAGTCTCCTCTCCAAAATGGGATCTGAAGATTTCCAGGGTAGGTGATTGTACCACCTCTGGAGGAAGCTTATTCCACACTCTGGATATCCTGACTGTGAAGAAGTTTTTCCTTATTTCGAGCCTGAATTGATCTTCCAGGAGTTTGTGGCCATTACTCCTGGTTTTCCCCTCAGGTGCCCTGGTGAACAGTCGCTCACCAAGCCCTTGATGTACTCCTCTAGCGTAGCAGTAAGCTGCTACCAGGTCCCTCTCAGCCTTCTTTTCAGGCTGAAGAGTCCCACATCCCTCAGCCTTTCCTCGTATGGCTTGCCGTGTAAGACTGATCATACGGGTGGCTCTTCTTTGGACTCTCAAGCTTGTCCATGTCCTTGTTAAAGCGTGGTGCCCAGAACTGGATGCAGTACTCCAGCTGCGGTCTCGCCAGTGCTGAGTACAGCAGAAGAATCACCTCCTTGGTTTTCCTGGAGATGCATCAATTGATGCATGCCAGAATATTATTTGTCCTACTGACTACAACATTGCAGTGTCGGCTCATATTCATACTGTGGTCTATTATTACCCCCAGGTCCCTTTCATTTGTGGTGCTAGTTAATTTGGTGCCACCAAGCCTGTAGGTGTGGTAGGGGTTGCTCGTCCCAAGGTGGAGACTTTACATTTCTCAACGTTGAACTTCAGGTTCCAACCTGCCCAACCTGCTAGCCTGTCTAGGTCTGCCTGTATCTGTAGCCTATCTTCAAACCATGCTCCTCCATAACTTGATGTCATCCGTGAACTTGGCCAGTGAGCTCTTCACCCCCACATCCAAATCGTTAATAAAGATGTTGAAAAGTACTGGACCGAGCACTGACCCCTGCTGGACACCGCTGCCCACTTCTCGCCAGGATGATACGGATCTGTTCACTACGACTCTTTGGGTCCTATCCTGCAGCTAGTTTCTCACCCACCTGACTGTCTCAGAGTTAAGCCCACAATCCTCCAAATTTCTTACAAGGACATTGTGGGATACTAAATCAAAGGCCTTTTGGAAGTCTAAGTATACAATGTCAACCTGCTCTTTCATGTCCAGGTGGCAAGTTACCTGGTCATAGAAGGAGGTGAGGTTGGTAGGGTAAGACCTGACCACAATGAAGCCATGCTGGCTGTCATTCAGAAACCTTACCTTCTGCAAGCTTATCTCAGATAGACTCCTTGATGAACTTTTCTAGGATTTTTCCTGGGATATCAGGCTGATTGGCCTATAGTTACCTGGGTCCTTCCTCCTGCCCTGGTGGATGGGCACAACACTGGCCCTCTTCCAGTCCTCAAGGACTTCTCCAGAGCACCATGAGTTGTGGAAGAGTTTCACCAGGGGTTCTGCAATGACTTCAGCCAGCTCCTTCAGCACTTGCGGCTGAAGATCATCTGGTCCCGCTGACTTGTATATGTCTAATTTGTCAAACCTCAGCTGATTCATGGGAATTGCTGGAGTGCATACACTTAACCACTAAAGAACTGTAATGAACCAGGAGTACCAATGTACTTAGATGAAAGTGATCTTTCATCTATTGAGAGGTAAAAGCCTTCACTTCACTATCACAGTACAGCTGGCACACTGTGATTCCACATCTCCTTATTACCCCAGGGTAACTAGTGGCTGTGTACGTACCCACAGTAAATTTCTTTCTTTTTATTATTGGCAAGCTTTTCATAGAAGCTCAGCAACTCAACACTGCTCAGAGACAAAGCGTCTAGTTGAGGCCTGCTTCATGGGGTGCAGACTGAAGTGACAACTTTCACCTAATCTGGCCACAGAAAGCAGTTTGTAGTTGTGACCGAACACAAGTACACGGCTGGAGACAGTTTAAAAAGTGGCCGATCACGTGAAAAGTTGCAGCAAGAGAGGTTTAAATTGGATATTAGGAAAAACTTTCTCACTAGAATGGTGGTGAAGCACTGGAACAGGTTACCCAGAGAGGTGGTGGGATCTCCATCCCTGGAGGTTTTTAAAGTCTTGGGTGGGATGATCTAGTTGGGGATGGTCCTCTTTGAGCAGGGGGTTAGGCTAGATGACCTCCTGAGGTCCCTTCCAGCCCCAATTTTCTATGGGTCTATGAAAATCTGACTCCCTCATTGCATGAGGTATCCCATAAAGATGTTTCAAAATGTAACATCTTTTGTAACTTGTGTCTGCAGAGCTTGCAGCCTGTCCCTGTTTTCAAAATGGGAGGGGGGAAAGGGAGCAGAGGGAGTTCAGTCTTGGGGGGTTTCAGCCCCCCCAGAGGGTGGGGCAGGTGTATTGCAGCCTGCCTGAGGTGGGGGGGGGCTCCAAGTCGCCCACCCCACCCTTCAGCACCAGCTGGGGAGCCCCAAGAATGAGCTCCCTCTGCTGCCTTACTCTCCTCCCATGCTGAAAACAGAGCACCCTGGCCATTGCTGTGGGAACCTGGCTGCGGGATCCCAGCCGCAGCTCAACTCTTCTGCTCCTGCAACCAAGAGTGAACTTCAGTTTGGTCTGGGGTAATGTGGTGACTCGGGACGCTTTGCAGAAATCCTCCTGAATGACAGCTGGAGCAGCACTTCTGTCTGCACCCTCAGTTCCCCCTTAGCACTCAGCGTTGTGTAGCATTACTGCCTGCGTACCACACCTCTTGTGAACATTTTTTAAATGTACAGTTCCATACATTTTCTTTTCCCATCCAAGCACAACAGTAACAACGAGCAGCCAACCTAACAAAATATTTCAAAGACACACACAGTGTCCTGTGCGTCAAGTGGACTTGTGCAACTTCCTTGAAACATCCGTGCTACTGTTGTAAGGCAGCAGTAACAGCGCTGGTTTTGTTTGTGTCAAAACCTGAGCTCAGTCTAATGTAGCTGTGATCTTCTGTATGATCCCTTCTTTGGCAAAACGGCTGGCTCAGCGCCCCTTATCTCCCTCTCTCCTGGGTTTTGGAGGAGGTGTTGACTACTCTGTGCCATGTGCCTCCGTGAGAGGATAACCCCATACAAGCTGGGGGGAGGAGGGGGACTACCTCATGTACTACCACTGTTGTTTTCAACCATTTTTTCCTATTGCAGATATGCCCAACCTTATTTCCATAAAGTAGTGATAGTTTGGGGGAGCTGAAGCCAGGGTGGGTGAGGGTTTTTGCCATCGGTTTCTAACAGGGCTGGCCTTCTGTTTTCAGTTTCCGGTGGAAGAAAAGATCAGCAGGTGATAATTCTTGCTTCACTGGTGCTCTCTTGTCCTTTAAGTAGTTTACTTAAAGGACAAGACAGCACCAGGAGTAGATATGGGTCAGTCTGGTTGTGTGGCTTCTTTGAGTAGGCATTTTCTTATTTTAGTACTTTTGCTAGTTCCTTTGATTGGGCACAACTGAGAGTAGCAATGATGGCTGCATACAGACATGAAAAGAACAAAACAGCACTCTGCTTTCAGCACAGCGCATGCCCAGAGGAGGCACTGCATTACTTTGACCTGGCTCACCCAACATCTGTATAGATCATGTGCTTTAGTGGGGCTTTTTGGTGATTTTATCCAATAACTAACTGTATCAGCTATTAGATAAAAGTGCCAAAAAGCGCTGCTGAAGTGCCCAATCTACACAGACGCTGGGGAGCCAGGTCAAAGTAACACAATTCCTCTTCCAGTAAAGCACCGTTTGGGGGTTTTTCCACATCTGTCAGCAGCCGATATGTGTGTTTCAATGCAAACTGTTTAAACGTCTCTATTAAACTGCAGGCAATCGTCAGCCGTTACTACTTCAGGTATACCTGTTTTAGTGAAAATGGATTTGATACACACAATCATCCATTTAGCCATAGTACTTTCTAGTAAGGCCGTCCAAGGGGTGTGAGGGTAATCACATAGGACAGTTACGTAGTCTTTTCCTCTAGTCAGCTTAAACAACCTATGCCGACTTCGCTCTAGGGGTTCACTTTTTCCTGTGTCCTTGTGGGGGCCTTTAGATAGGGGGTAAAAAGGGCAGTTTCCCTCGGCCACAACTGGAGGCTGTTGAATCGCCCCCTCTCATACAGGGTGTGCCCCTCGTAGTAGAGCGTTGCCTCAAGATTTGCCCACTCTCTACAAAAGCCCACCTGGCTTCAGGCCCCCACCACGGACTCTTTTGCTTGACTTGATCTGTGTTTTAAGAATATACAATATATATCGTATATTGTATACAATATATATTGTATATCATTGTCGTCCTTTCTTCAAAGCCAATATAAATCATTTCTAGTCCTAATCTTTAAATGACTTTTTACCATGTATTTCTGTAATACTTGTGGAATCACTATCCTCATGCCCCAGGCTGGGTCCTGGAGGGGTGGGCTGGGGTGCGTGTGGCCACGTCCACCTTTGGGTGTACATCACACGACTTGTCAGCGTGGCTCCTGGCTGTGGCTGGCAAGGGCTGGGCGGGCGAGCGGTGGCAGCATTAACCCCGTGGACTCTGAAGCTGAGCTGACAGGGTGGTAGGCTGAAAGAGCTCGCTTCACACGTACTTCACAGTCGAGGGGTGCACCCCGCAGCTCTGCCTCTGGCTCCATCCTTGTTGATGCCTTAAATAAATTCCCACCCAGAGTAAGACCTCTCTTTTCAAATGATACGAGGTCAAGGGGATATGCTATCCTCTCGACCAGTTTCCTTAACTGGTTTCTGCAGAATCTCATCCTCAGCAGTAGCTCTGGTAATGACAGTCCACGTATATATATATTTTGAGGCTGGATTTATAATTAAATGAATAAATAATTCAATAAATTAGATTACATACATGCAATTTAGCTTTAACCATGCTTTAAACATATGTTGCAACCACCAAATTACTTCCAGGTTTGTGTTCGTGTTTCAGATCACATACCCATAGTTGAAAAGAATCGATATGCTCTGAAAATGTTTGCCAAGCCCCTTTTAGGCAATGGCAATATGTTTATATCAATTGTAGCTAAGACTTCTCATAAACGAAGACATGAAATGTTTTATACCCCTATATTAAAATTAAAGCCAGCTTCTTTGAATGTACCAGCATTTAGCTTTTGTTAATAGCCAGGATGTATAGTCTCTATTGTAGTAAGGAGACTGCCAATACCCTCCTATGCGGGGTCCATAAACAACTTGGTTTTTTGAACTTACTGGCATAATACCTTAGGGCTAGGGCCTTCTTTAATTAAGAGTGTCTCAAATTCTTAAGATTTTCATTTGGCACTTTTGTATAATAGTAGTCTTAGATATTCTGGCAGCTAGAGAAGACTAGCACAAATTTCCCTACCTGGTACACAATTAAAGGGAGTCTTGTACCCTTTCACTGCCTGCCGGGGTAGGTATATTAACAAGTATCTCAGTCTTATTACGGTGTGTCCAAGCATCCAAATGATGCTGTTTCTTATACATCCAAATGGCAGTGTCTGTTTAATGGAGGGGGAACCTGTATTCAAATACGTTCTCCATTTTAAGGGCACCTGCCAGCACACTGCTTAAACACCAGGTGAAGGAAAACTAGGTGGCTTCAGCCAGGAGTAGAAAAATGTTTGTTTTTTTCAGGCCTTTACTTCATGTCTTCGGGTGCATCCACGAGGCGTCTGTCCTTATTCTCCTCCATGTGCACCCATCCTGTGGTTTCTGTTACTGACTGTCTGTATCCAGGGCAGTGACCCTATCCAGCTTCTCTTTAAGTGTCTGCTTAAAGACAGTTCCTTTGCGGGGAAAAAAAAGCATCACAAAGGGGTGAATTGCGGGTGGTTGGGCTCTTTCAGCCGAGAGAGCATTTTGAGTGGGAAGTCCCTCCTAGACTCTCCCCGAAGGGACTTTCTATCACTCTGAAACTGCTCTGCTCTGAAACCAGCTCTGCTGTGAGCAGGGCCGAGGTAGAGACATCTGACCCAGGACCTGCTACCGAGAGTGACCTGAGACCCCCCAGGGCAATTCCAGGACACGGAGAAAAGTCGATGCGTCTGGCACCAGGAGAGGACCATGGCAACTTTGTTTAAGTTAGCCGGGACTGGCAACCCTGGCTGTCCCATCCACAATATCCTGGGCTAATAATGGGGAAAGGGTTTGAAGGAGTTTGAATATTACCAGGTTGCAAATTATCTTTTTCGTAAAAGCATATTAGTCACCTGGACTACTTTCTCCCCACGATCCCAAGAGCCTGTCCCCAGTAAAACTCCCCCACCCCAGAGCTGCCCCTGGTTTTTGGGGTGTAGTGTTTCCATTCAGCTTTATAGTAGCGCTGGGCTTTCCACTCCATGCCCGGCTATATCACTGTCAGTGAATTCTCAAGGGACAATAGCCCTGTGTACCCAGCACACAGGAGGAGTCATCTTTCCACATGTGAGACTCGCCAGATGTCGAGGGCAAAGCCCAGGAGAGGAGAGAAGCCATTGTAAACGCTAGTGACAGCAAGCACCGGGGAGAGATGGAGGAGGCTGAGGTCAGCCTCAGGGAGGAGCTATGTGTCATTTTTCAAATACTTGGTACTGGAATAACCTTTGTGTTTATTGCAGAAGACGAAGCCACCACATGGTTATCAGACATCTTGTTCGGCAGCTATTTCAGAGCTCCCATGTGGCAGTGGGAAGCCCTTGAAAGAGGTTGTGTGAGAGTGTGCAAGAGAAAAAGACTCCTGCAGCACTGCTGGATCTTGGCGGAGTTCTCCCACAAAGCCACAACTCCTGCCACCAAGGGCTGGATCTTTGTGTAAGTGCCCAGCTGGCCTGGACATATCTCAGTGCCAAAGGGGAAAGCTTAATTATGACTAGAAGCAAAGACACAGTTGAAGAAATAAGCACATGGGGGACACGGTCTGTTGGTGTCTTCATATGGCACAGACAGGCAAAGCCTGGATTGCGCGACTGACTGCAAACAAATTCTACTCGCTTTGTCAAGGAGATGACTGGACCCCACTCGTCTGTCTTTGAGTCACTTCTCACACGTCCCAGTCTGAATCTGATCTCTTCTTGGGGACTCTGTCAGCTCCCCAGAATTGCAGACTGCCTTTTTGCCCTTAGGTCAATCAGAGGCTCTTCTGTGCTTTCACCTTCTTTTTGTACTCTACGTTTAAAACCATATTGCTCAAGTATGTCGTTATTATGTGGCATATGAGACTTCTGACATTTCTAAAATAAAGTTTCATAGTTTGCTTCTGCCTGAATTCACTGCAAACTACTACAGACACCGACTGCTTTGGAAACAGCTGTTGTCAAAAATAAGGCTCCGCTCGCTCTGACTGTCTTCTGTTTTGCTGGAATTTACTGCTCGCAGATAAAAGAATAAGATATCCTGTGTAAGCCTCCTCTATTTGTCTTCCCAGTGAGTTACAACTCTGATGGGTCTTTCAACATTTTTTTCTTTCACTCAGTGTATTTTCTTAGTTCATTTCGTGCCAGGAATGATGTGGTGTTCAGTAATCACTCAGCGCCAATTATTCTGAGTGAGGTCTGTTTCCTTTAACCATCTGAGTTCTGTGTGATCAGCATTGCATAATGTGATCCTCCATCTCAAAGCTATTTCCAAGGGCTTCATGCCAGATTCATTTAAAAGAACAGCTCCCACAAGACCTAGCAGATATTTTGAAAATCTAGTTGTGTCCCCCAAAAGGAGGCTGTTGTGTATTGAGCTTTTTTGCAGATCTGAACCCTATTTGTAGATAGATACAAATTGAGGCAAATGATAGTTTATTTACTTATTTTAAAATATTGATATGGCTATCAAGTTTCACTTCTTCAAACAGCTTTGGAAATCTGCAGACATGTAACAACTTAGCAACCATTAGCGTTAATGGTTTCGAAAGTTGTGTGTGGGCACATGCACATCATTTTCAGCTGAATGTATTCCCTATGATATTCCGTATTACTAAGAGAAAGTTTTCCCCAGCAGTAGAGCTCTCTTAATGTACTCTTTGTTCACAAGCTGTCCCCAGCAGTACTTACTTCCAGTTGTTATTATACTTTAGTTTGCTTTGTGGTGGCAACAGTCTTGATAGAGCTTTGTCTATTGAGAGCTCTGCTGTCATTTACTATTCCTTTTGTAAATATTACAAATCCTTATTCCATCCCAAACTTAGCAAGGTACAATAGCACTTCCTTACGTGATGGAAGCAGTATTGTGCAAATCTTTTGTAGGTGGCACAGTAGCTAACAGACATCTGTAAATATACTGATGCTGGTTCTAAAACCAAAATGCTCATGTAAATCATTGTCACTCAACTGCTAAGTAGTTGATTAAGTATATATCTGATCACTGCCCTGATATATAATTGTGGCATAGAGCTGGAATGTTATCAGTATTTATTTAATGACAACAATTGGCTTGACTCTGTACAGAACAGAGATTTCGATTCAGAAGGTTGTATGTTGTCCGTGTGTTTGCTCTGCAGCATTGAGCATTGTATATAAAGGTAGAAACAGTGGGGAGGATGCCTAGTTTTGTCTGGTTCTGTTTCATTTTGGAGAACGCGGTGTGCCTGCTAACCTGCTGGAGCCAGGCACTGGGGTGGGGGGGACAGGTGGGGGGGACTGTTGTTGGACAGGCCTCAATCATCAAGAAGTTTGGGGTTGAACCTGCATTGGTGATTTCCATGGTGGGCAAGCTGCCTGGCAGAATGTAGTCAGAGATGCTCTGAGCACAGCTGATAGAAACCAAAGAAAAGCTAGGGGTTCGTGATGGAAGTGGGTGCCAGAGAGGCTATGAGTGGAAGGGACTCAGGAGACAATACTCAGAGCCCAAGGGGAGACAATCCCAACAAGAATCAAAGGGGGCAAGAGTGCCCAAAAGCCCCCCTGGCTCACCAAGGGCATTCGGGAATGCCTGATTGCCAAAAAGGAGGTGTACACGGGTGAAAGGGAGGGGCTATCACTAAAGAGGAGTATAACTCCACCGCTCGGGTCTGTAGGGGGGCTGTTAGGAAAGCTAAGGCAGTTATGGAACTAGGGCTAGCATCAAAGATCAAGGATAACAAAAAGTCCCTTTTTAAATACATAGGGAGCATGAAGAAGGCCCCGGGTAATGTGGGGCCCCTGCAGGATACACTAGGCAATCTGCTGGTCGCACCAGAGGAGAAAGCAGACCTCTTTAACAATGTCTCTGCCTCCATTTTTTCATGCAGGGACTGGGACTCCTCCACCGAGATTCGGGACAGACTTGGGAGAAACTCTGCCAGGCCTAGGCTCAGGGAGGACCGAGTTGAGGAAATTCTGGCGGGGCTGGACACATTCAAATCAGCAGGTCCAGATGCTCTCCACCCCAGGGTGTTGAAGGAATTGGCAGGGGTTATCATGGGGCCCCTGGCACAGCTTTATGAGCACTCATGGTGCTCTGGCCAGGTGCTGGATGACTGGAAGAGGGCCAATGTGGTCCCCATCTTCAAAAAATGGAACAGGGAGGACCTGGGCAACTATAGGCCTGTTAGTCTTACTTCGATTCTGGGGAAGCTCTTTGAGAAGATTATCAAGGAGCACATCCGTGATGAGGGCTATTCTGCAGTTGCTCGGGGATGTAGGGGGGTAGTTAGGAAGGCCAAGGCAGAGATGGAACTGGGACTAGCTTCCCAGATTAAGGACAATAAGAAGTCCTTTTTTAAATACATAGAGGGTAAGAAGAAGGTCCCAGGTAATGTGGGGCCCTTGCAGGACACGTTGGGAAATTTGGTCGTCACATCAGACGACAAAGCTAACATGTTTAACTATTTCTTTGCCTCCATCTTCCTAAGTAGGGACCAGAACAGCCAC